AAGAATAAAAAGTAAGGATAGCTAAGAAAATAATGAAAAATAACAATAATAAGGGACTTGATCTATTAGATATTAAAATACCTAAAGCTCCAGGAAGTCAAACAGTATAAAACTGGTACAGAATAGCCCAGAAACAGACTCTAATAATATATACTAAAGGTATTTTTAAAGTGAAGATTATTCAGCAAATTATACTGAAACAATTGGTTAACTGTTTAGAAAAAAATCAAGTAATCTTTACCTCATGTCAAAATAAATTATAGATAGATCAACAGCCGGGGGCAGTGGCTGACACCTGTAATCCCAGCACTCGGGAGACTGAGGCAGGCGGATCGCTTGACCTCAGGAGTTCAATACCAGCCTGAGCAAGAGCAAGACCCCATCTCTATTAAAATAGAAAAAATTAGCTGGGCGTGGTGGCTTGCACCTATAGTCCCAGCTACTCAGGAGGCTGAGGAAGGAGGATCCCTTGAGCCCAGCCAGGAGTTTGAGGTTGCTGTGAGCTAGGCTGATGCCACAGCACTCTAGCCCAGGCAACAGAGTGAGACTCTGTCTCAAAAAAAAAAAAAATTATAGACAGATCAAAAAGACAAATTATTTTAAAAGTAGGAGAAAAATGTAGATAAATTACCCATTTAAACAATGAAAGTACACTGCAACTACCAGTATATTTATAATTGCAAGAAACCTATAAATTAATTTGACACTATTAGACATCTTAGCAATATATTCCACTCAGGAATATAAAATGGATCATAAAGTGTATAAAGGATGAAAAACATCAAGAAAATATATAGAACAAATATGCCAAGTATAATGCCCTTAAAACAGCTGCCACACATATTAGTAAGGAACTGCTAACACTCCCAAAGCTAACTAGAAAGTGGACATGAATAGACAGCTCAAAGAAGTTAAATATGAATAACTAATAAATGTGAAAAAAAGTTTTGTCTATTAAAATTTAACTATTAGAAGAATACAATGAAATCATATACTGTTGTTGGGAATGCTTCATGGAAAGGGTTGCTTTTTGAATATTCAAAACCTTTTAACTAGTCATTTCATTTCTAGGAAAACTCAATAAACATTTTGGCACAGTAGTATTTATAGCCTTATGTATAATAAGGGAAGATTGGAAATAACCAAAGTATCTTAACAGTAGAAAACTAGTGAAATTATGGCATGACATGGAAGCCAGAAATCATAATGAAGAATATGGATAGATTTGATTACATACAAAATTTTGCATGATTTGAACAATGACCAAGCAGGAAAAGTTTTTATAACCTGATAAATATATGTGCATATATGTCACATATATACATAACATATTTTTAAAACCCATGTACATCAATTAGAGAAAGAAAACACCCCAATTTTAAAAATGAGCAAAGACATGAATTAACAAAAGAAGAAACACGAGTGAACAATTAGTGTATGAACATGTTTAACTTTGCAAGTAATCAAAGAAATTCAAATAAAAAAATGAGATGTCATTTTCACCTATCAAGATACATGCGTTTTATTTCTGAGTTTTAACTAGGCTTGTTAAAGTTGAGGGAGATAAAGTTGAGAGAGAGAATATCAAAAAAAGACAAGTTGCAGTGTTGATAAAGACATAAGAAAAACACTTTTGTAATGCTAGTGAGCATTGCTGAATCTAAGGGAAAATTGGCAGTATATGTAAACGTCTGTGAAATTTTACTTAAAGCAATGAATTCAAGGCAAATAATCAGTATGTAATGGTATATATGTAAAACACTCTGCTTTCATTTATATTTCTGAAGTTCAAAAACAGGCAAAAATTACATCAAGATTAAGAATACATAGATAAGTAGTTACAAACACCAAGCAAATCTAGGAAGAGATTAACCTCTATGGGGCAGAGAGGGGTATCTAGCTGGGA